TTGCCTGAAGCCCGGCTTCTTAATCACAAACTTGGGTCACAGGTAAGGCTGTTCCTGGGACCCGAGGTGCCGCCTTGACTGTGGCCCGGCTTTCAAATCAATATCATGGGCCACAGTCAAGGCGGCTCCTGAGACCCCGTGTGCTGCCTGGCCTTGGGCTCAGCTTTCTGATCATGATCACGATCCTGGGCCACAGGAAAGATGGCTGATGATTCCTGGGATGCCGCCTTTCCTGTGTTCCTGCTTTCAGATCTCAATCAGGGGCTGCAGGCACAGCGGCTCCTGGGTCCTGGGGTGCCCCCTTGCCTGAAGCCCGGCTTTAAATCACAATCATGGGCCACAGGCAAGGCGGCTCCTGGGACCAGGGGTGCCACCATGCCTGAGTCCAGGCTTTCAAATCACGATCATGATCAAGGTCCAGAGGCAAGGCGGCTCCTGGGTCCAGGTGTGCGCCGTGCCTGAGGTCGGCCCTCTGATCATGATCAGGATCACGGGTTCGCTTGTGTCCTGGGGTGCTGCTTTGCCTGTGTTCCAGCTTTCAAATCACTATCAAGGACCACAGGCAAGGCGGCTCCTGGAAACCGTGGTGCCACCTTGCCTGTGGTCTGTCTTTCTGATCTCAATCACTGGACACAGCTAAGGCGCTCCTGGAACCCAGACTGCTGCCTTGCCTGCGGCCTTAATTTCCGAGTACTATCAAGATCACAATCGTGATCACGGCTGCAGGCAAGGCACCTTCTGTTTCCCGGGGTGCCACCTTGCCTGTGGTCCTGCTTTCTGATCTCAATCACGGGCCGCAGGCACAGTGGCTCTTGTTTCCTGGGGTGCCGCCTTGCCTGAAGCCCGGCTTCTAAATCACAATCTTGGGCCATAGGCAATGCGGCTCCTGGGACCCGAGGTGCCGCCTTGACTGCGACCCGGCTTTCAAATCACGATCATGATCAAGGTCCAGAGGCAAGGCGGCTCCTGGGTGCCGGTGTGCGCCGTGCCTGAGGTCGGCCCTCTGATCATGATCAGGATCACGGGTCCCCTTGTGTCCTGGGGTGTCGCCTTGCCTGTGGTCCTGCTTTTAAATCACGATCACGGCTGCAGGCAGGGCAGCTCGTGCGTCCCGGGTTGCCACCTTGTCTGTGTTCGGGCTTTCAAATGACGATCATGGGCCACAGGCAAGGCGGCTCCTGGAAACTGGGGTGCCACCTTGCCTGTGGTCTGTCTTTCCGATCTCAATCACTGGACGCAGGTGAGGCGGCTCCTGGGACCCAGGGTGCTGCCTTGCCTGTGGCCTTAATTTCTGAGTACTATCACGATCAGGATCACGATCACGGCTGCAGGCAAGGCAGCTACTTGGTCCCGGGATGCCTCCTTCACGCGGCCCGGCTTTTAAATCATGATCACATGTTGACATGTAAGATAAATTCTCATATTTTCAGTTAACAAAACTTTTCAAATGTCTACCACGATATAAAAAATTTAAAATCTCATTTTATTCATGTCCACTTTAAAAATGAGGCAAAGTAAATTGAAAAAGTACGAAACTATATTTTTCAAAGGGGAATTCAGTGTAGTATCCCCACCTGAATTAGTTACTGAAGTAGCAAACTTAATGTATTATGAAGCCTTTTAATCTATCACTGTGGATCTTACAGCACTGTCCACAGTAACTATGCAGTATATACTAAGATACTAATAAAAAAAGTTACAATAAAAGATCTTACTATTTCCTTACTTTTTAATATAGAGACTGGCTTTAAGCACCTAATCTTTACAAAAAATTTTAAATACTTCAACTATTCCTGCCAACATTCTGATAACTTTAATGAAATATTAAATATGCCTATATGCAACCCAGTAAAACCTGGAAAATATTTAAACTCAATCTTAATGACCCTTTTGACTGACATCCTAGCCTAGTGAATATTTTCTACTCACTTTCTTCAACTGTATTATCAACTCTAAACATGTTAAATTTTTTGAAACGTTATGCTTGAAAAGACTCAAGAAGAAACATCATGGAAGTGTTCCAATTTTTAAAATTCTTCCTTGCTAATGTGCTTTTATAATTTGCCATTGTAACTGCAGAGTTAGGAGAGAAAATGCTGACATCACAGACACATTTTAACTCAAAAAGGCAGTAGTGCAACACAGACAGTCCAATAGGGAAAGCAAGATGTAGATCACAAACAATGAAATTTTACTTTCTAGATATTGGTTGTCTAATTTCTTTAAAACCAATTTCTAGACATGATAGCTAATGGTATGTATTATATAATATAAGCCCTTGGAAATACCTGCTAGCAAGGCGGTCCTAGAAAGTAATACAGAACCGCCACCCGTTGTATCCAGCGTCTGTACCACCAGAAATCTACACTTCACTAGTTCATTGTGGCAGTTTTAAGGCCAGTTACACAAGAATTTTCAAAGGCTAAAGAGCACAGAATATATGATTTTTATATTGAGAATAGTTGTTATTTAATTTCTTTGAAAGAGAAATCTTCACGCTGGCTAGATGGCTCAGTGGATTGGAGTGTCTTCCCAGGCACCAAAGGGTCCAGGATTCAGTGACCAGTCAGGGCACATACCCAGGTGCCAGGTTTGATCCCCAGTCCCAGACACTGGATGGGAGGCAACTGGTAGATATTTCTCACATATCCATGTTTCTCTCCCTTTCTCTTTCCTTCTCCCTTCCTTTCCCTCTGACATCAATTAAAAAGAAAGAGAAATCTTCAAGGTCAGAAAAACTGAAATGAAAACTCATAATTAAAATTATTTTAAAGTAATTCATATATGGTAACAATGTCTAAAAGGTTCAGGAGGAAAGGAAACAGCACATAATATATATTAAAAAAGTAGCCATTTTGCACTAGGAAGCAATAAACAATATTTAAGGAATTTTCTACTGTAAAATAATCCATTTTCCACATTACACATTATTAAAGTAAACATTAAAGCATTTGAAACTATACTAGTATACAGAAATAGGTACTGTGAGAGGACCAAAGCTGAAAAGAAAATGTCAAGTGGCAGGTTAACTAGAAATTGTTAAAAGTTTAAGAGAGACATTTCCTTTTTATCCAAAACTGAAAACAAAATTAAACAAATGTAATATCCTCTAGTAATAAAAATAATCAAAGGGATATGAAAAATACTAAGGATCCTAAATTAAGCATAGGCTAAAAAAGATCCTCATCAGGTTAAAACCTTTAACTTATTTTTAAGAGGAAATACTAAACTTGCCAGAATAGGGAATATTATATTTCAACAGTACTTGTTTTGGTAGGTGAGATACTCATTATGTCAATACCCCCCCTTCCGCCACCCCCGTCTCCCTTAAAAGGAAAGAACTTATCTGGGATTGGAGCAGGAGCAGTGATCCTTCTCCAGTCCTTGCAGATGAGGCGCTCATCATGTCACAGCCCTCATTCCTCCTTAAGATAAGATGGCATGGGCACGCTGCACATCAGTAAGGTTAGCACAGCTGCCAGATTTTTTTATGGCCACCCTGCACAGGTTTTTGTTTTCACAATATCTGGCAATGGCCTAGGGGGAGACATGAGATAGAACACAGGTACATTCAAAATAAAGGAGCTGCAGCCTTCACAGAGAAAGCATCACTGATAGCCACACAGTCCTAATTCTTTATATGGATTATGGTCATTGCCTCTTCGGAGAGCTGCGTATACACTGCATGGTCCTTGGGATCCTATTTTATGTTCATCCACGAAGTTAAGTAGTTTAGGGACTCTGATTAGATTGACACAGCAAAGGGGAACTTAGAATTTGTTAAAGTTTGGGTTTTTTCAAGATGTCAAAGGTGTGACAGTCTTCCTCACAACAGTATCATCTGTTGTCTGTACACTTGGTTCCTTAAATATAATAAATATACAGTTGTGAAATGTCATTGTTTACTCAGCTATTTACATTCTATCCAATCTTCATTAGTTAGCATTTACTCTAAGCAAATTTTAATGAGGCTGGCATGTGCTGTATCTTACTGAAAGCTCGAAAGGTCTAGTGACTGATGCCCCATCAAGGTACTATTTCACTTGCACATTAAGGTAGACGCACTCTAAAGGACTATTAAGTACCACAAAAACTGTCCATTTTAGTTGTAATTTTGTTGTATACTCCCCAGAATTCATAAGCCATAAATATTACTTTGTCGCACATACTTTACAAATGCCATTAAAAACCCATATACTTTCTACACCCAGTGTTTGAAGTACATATTCTACAATCTAAGTATCTCTCTCTCAGGTTACTTTTGTCTATCAAACTGAAGGTACTGAACTGTGATCTATACAGAAAAGACATGAATTTGCAAACTGAGTTAAGAGTGATAAGTAGAATATGGTTGTAGATATGATTAATGATACAATTGTAGGAAATTATTCATGTATGGCTATAAAATAGAATACAGTTTCAAAAAAACCATCAAAGTTTAAAATGGATTTAAATTATTCTGAATCGTGGTCACAGAAAAGGTAATTTTTATAATGTAGGATTCTTATATACACCATAAAAATACTGCTAATATGATGTGAGAGAGTTAATAAGTCTTATTCAATGTGTTAGTTTAAAACAGGTTTTCATTTTCCTAGTCTCTACATAATATGATTTATGCACAGATACTGGTTTTTGAGTCTGACAGAAAACCCCACTTTGTGATTTCACAGCCTTACCTCTAGGTTCAGTGCTCGTTCTTTTTGAAGAGGAGTCAATGCAATAGGCAACAATCCATGGTCACTTGCTAAGGACCGAAGGTCAAAATAGTATTGGGCATAGACACTGGTAGAAACATACAGACGAAACCGCAGTAGACATAGGTATTGCCTTTCCAACTCATTTCTGGGGAAGAAGGAAAACACAAAACCACCACAGGGCAATTTTAGTCAACATGGTTCTCTTCAAAATTGTCATTCTAAGCTACTAGGTTGGCTCTGAGTTTAGTTTTAATCAAATAAAGGCTACCAACCTGGGCTAATACACTAATGTTCAACCAGGAAAACAAGGCTCAACAATTTGTGGTCCCCTTTGAGTTTGGGACAAGGGGAAGGACTTTGAGTTTGGGACAAAGGGAAGGAGGTTATGTCTCTTGTGCACAACAGCTGTTGACTAGGGGCTCAATTATCAGAGTCCCATTAGTGCAGCTGTAGGTTTATTCTTCTTGCTCACTCTCAGGGCTCCACTCTAGTGCTCAGATGAAAGGAATGATGTATGCTGTTTCTTAGCCCTGAAGAACTTGCAGACATTTTCACCAGGCTGATAGCAGGAAGGGGATTAGTAAAATAGAGATGTGCCAACAAAAGGACTGGGCACATCACCACAGCAACAAATGGATCCATTCAGAACCACCACTCTTATCTTTGAGGGGAAAACTCTTGGAAAATTATCAGACACCAAAAAAGAAACTGAGGAAGAGACAACTCAATGGAAGCATGTACAATGCTCATGGACAGGAAGCATTAACACCTTTAAAATGTCCATACCACCTCAAATAATCTCTTTCAACCAAATTCCTATCAAGATGCCAATGCCATCTTTTACAGAAGTAGAACAACTAATCCAGAGTTTTATACGGACACACAAAAGACCCTGGACAGTTAGTCACAGCAGTTGAGAGAAAAACAAAAGAGGCTGGAGGTATCACACTACCTGATATCAAACCCCACTACAGGGTTATAGTCATCAAAACAGCATGGTACTAGCATAAAAACAAACATAGATCAATGAAACAAAATTGAAAGCCCAGAAATAACCCCACACCTATATGTTTAATTACTATTTGACAAAAGAGGAGACTTCATTCAACGGTATAAAGACAGTCTATTCAATAAATGATGTTGGGTAAATTGAACAGATACATTCAAACATCGAAGCTAGACCACTTCTTACACCATATACAAGAATAGACTCAAAATGGATTGTTAACCTAAATGTAAGTGTCAAAACCATAAAACTCCTAGAAGAAAACATAGGCACTAAAATCTGGAATATTTCTCTTAGTGCTTTGCTGATAGATTACCCTGAGCAAGCGAAATAAAAGAAAAAATAAAGGATTGGGACTATATCAAACTAATAGTTTTAGTATAGCAAAAGAAAACATCAACAAAATAAAAAGACAACCCACTGATGGGAAAACATATGTGACATTGATATATCTAATAGGTGGTCTAATATTCAAAATTTATAAAAAACATACATAACTAAACAACTTCTATAAAACATATACAGCTCAATACCAAAAATACGAAAAATCTAATTAAAAAATGGACAGAAGACCTGAAAAGACACTTATCCAAAGAGAGCATACAGATGGCTGATAGATAGGAAAAGATGCTTAACATCACTGATCATCAGTGATATGCAAATTAAAACCACAATGAGATATCCTCACACCTGTCAGGATGGCTATCATCACCAAACAGCAAGTGCTGACAAGGATGTGGAGAAAAGGGAACCCTCGTGCACTTTTGGTGGCAAGGTATATTGGTGCAGACACTGTGGAAAATAGTATGGAAGTTCCTCAAAAATTAAAAATTGAACTGCCTATGACTCAGTGATTCTACCCTGGTATATATCTGAAGAAAACCAGGACACTACTTGAGAGGATATATACACCCTATATTCACTGCAGTATTATTCATAATCCTTAAGCTGTAGAAGCAACTCAAGTGCCCATTAACTGATGAGTGGATAAAAAAGCAGTGGAATATTATGACTCATCCATAAAAAAGAATGAATTTCTGCCATTTGTGAGAGAATAGTTGGCCCTAGAGGGTATAATGTTAGTGAAATAAGTCAGTCAGAGAAATACAAATAACATGATTTCACTAAAAAGCAATATAAATGAACAAACAAAACAGAAGCAGACTCAGAGGTAAAGGGAACATTTTGATGGTTGCCAGAGGAGAAGAGGTTTGGGGGAGCTGGGTGAAGAAGGTGAAGAAATTGAGAAGTACAGACTGGCAATTACAATGCAGTTAGGGGATATAAATTACACCATGGGAAAGAGAGTCAATAATACTGCAATAACTATGCATGGTGTCAGGTCAGTACTAAAAATATTGTGGAAAACACTTCGCCAAGCACATGATTTTCTAACCATTATGCTGTACACCTGAGACTAATATGAAATAACTAGAAGCCCGTCGCACAGATTTCTGTTCTTACAGAACCCGGGACCCCTCGGGGGATGTCAGAGAGCCAGTTTCGGCCTGATCCCTGCAGGCCAGGCCGAGGGACCCCACCAGTGCACGAATCTGTGCACTGGGCCTCTAGTATGCATATAAGATCTTTGGTTAATCTCTTCCTGCACTTCCCACTCCCCCATTCTCTCTGAGATTCATCAGTCTGTTCCATGTTCCCACGCCTATGGTTATCACTCCTGCGTTAAGCATCTGCCCAGGTGGCCAATGCACATCATAACTACTGGCTGGGCAGCCGGTCGCTTAGGCTTTTCTTTATATATAGATATTGAATGTAAAGTCTTATTGAAAATAAATGAAATTTTGAAAATGGGGGAATAAAAACCTGAACTGGTAGAAAGCGTTAAGAAAGGCATGAAGGTATTTACATTACTGTTGTTTTTGAATCTGAGCTTCTACAAACTTTGCTACCAGAGAAATATACCAAGTTATCACACAGATTATTACAATAATAACACATGAAGACATACTAATTAATGAGGAGTATGAAATGTCAAAGCAAATATGGATAGAAAAATGTACGTAATTTTATGCCTAGTTCAGTCCTCTGCACAATGTAACCTTTCAAAATATTTCTTATTTTGTAAACTTTATGGGGGCAAATAAGGTATTCGAAAATGGTTTGAAACTTCATCAAAATCTTGCAAACTCACAAGTTCTTGATTGTAATGCCCCTTAGCAATGAGAAGAAGTGAAAATTCCACATAGCCTCATCGTGCAGATACTTGTATGTCAGAATAATCGCTCCCAAAACAATGCGTTTCCAGTTAGATGGGCAAATGTCGATTTCAGCATAAGATAAAAGTCTTTCTATGTAAACCTGCAAAGTAGAACACTGGTTTTTGATTCTAGTTCAGTTTAAGTGCTGTGATAAGAACTTTCAGGAATGATAGATTTCATCAGTTTTTGACATGCCTTTTATTCATAGCTTCTAGAGAGACTGCTTGGCCAGCCAAAGCCAGAGGCCAAGAAACAGTTGCAAATCAGACACTTCTACTGCCTACTTTCCCAGGTGAATTTCCAGCCTGCTCACCAAAGAGTCGCTGGTTCCACTCTTGGCCCCTGTCAGGACTCATGCGGGAGGCAATCAATAGATGTCTCTCTCTCATACTGATGATTCTCTCTCTATTTCTCCTCTCCTCCCCTTTCTTTTCTACTTTCTCTGAAAATCAATGGATAAAATATCCTCTGGTGAGGATTAAAAACATTTTTTTTAAAGAGAGTCCCCCCCAGTGGCTGCTGTGTGGTGCAGCAGGACAGGCCGTGCAAACAGGTGTGTCTGAGGCAGGTCTCTACAACTGTCAGGTATTCCTGGACTTAGTGCCTTTGTAAGAAACACACACGCACACCAAGGATAGACATTTCATATCCCCTAAGCCTTACATCTCCATCAGGATTCTGTGAAATCCATCTCTGTCTTACACAACCTGAAGCTTGGTCAGTTCTGTTGGTTTCAGTTGGTAGCAGAGCTGCCAGTCTCTATCTCCCTGGTTCTCCTCTAAACCTGCCAGATAGCTGGTGAGATCTCATGATTTCTTCACATGTATTACATGTCGATTCTACAAAGAACTGGGTGAAGTTAACAGCTAAGCAAAGATTATAGAGGCAAGCTGTGATTTGCTGTTACGTCGAAGGGTTCTTTGAAGAAGAGTATGTTTACTGTCCGAGGTTATCAGATTGACAGCCCACATTAGCCAAAGGTGTTAAAACCCAACTGTATTTTAGAAAGCAAAAGGTTATTGAACATTATGTGTTATTAGTGAAAGTTTGCACCAATCTTCCAAAGCTAAATGCTCCCAGATATCCTATGAATGAACCTCCTTACAAGGTTCAACTGTCAACTTTCTGGGAATAATTAGAGACATACACAACATTGGAAATCACTCAACTTTCCTTCATCACTTCTACAGATTTAGAATGTGCCATTGCACATTCATTTATACCACTTGCCCTCCTGTGTCAGTGGAATTGAGATTTCTCTTCTCACTGAAACTCTTCTAGCAGTGAAGTCAATCCCATCCCACTTCTGAAAAACACCTCCCACAATTACCTCTTCTTGAACACTTTCCTGTGCCAGAGATTCTCTCCAATATGAATGTATTTATGTGATACCCATCCCACTCCCCACAATCCCTAGACTGCCTCCTGTCTGTTTGCTCACAGTGAATGCCCTGAAGCTGCTTCTCATCTCCCACTCTCTCCTTCACCCACTGTAGTCTGCCCCTGGCACTGTCACTCGACTGAAACTACTACTGCTAAGGTCATCGGTGCGTGTGCACATACAAACCAGAGCTCTTCACCCCAGCTCCCCACTCCCCACGCATTCCCTAATGTCATGTGGGGCACTGCCATTTGCCTAGGTGCTTGGCCAAAGACGTCCAATGAGTTGACCTGTTGCAAACTGTTAGCAACTCTTGTTATCGCTGCCTGTCACTGATAGTGAGTCTGCTTCCTAGTCTATTTGTCACTTCTCACCCATGTCAGTTATTGCCCCTGACTTCTTGGCCTCCAATCAGACTCCCAGCTACAATCATTGTCCCGAAAGCAGCCTGGATAGCTTTTGTAATCAAGAGCACTTCCCCACCCTGCTCAACTCTGCCAAAGTGTTTCCACCAAACAAATAAAAATGTCACTTTCTCCCATGGCCTGCAAGCTGCAAGGCCAATCAGGTAGCACTTGCCCTTCTAGGTCCACATGACCTACATTCTCTCCCTCATTCCACACTCTGACCACACTGGCCATACCTCACTCTTACTCAAATACCAAGTATAAGTTCCCGTCTCAGAGGCTGGCACTTATTCCCTCTGCACATAACGCCAGAGCTCCTCATCTTCCTCAGTTCAGTCAGGCCAGGGTCAGATGTCATCTCTTACAGAGGCTCTTCCTGATCACCTCTCTCAAGTAGCAAGCCCCTCTCAGCATGATATCACGTCACCCTGCTGTACCTTCGTGATATTTACTACTACCTGAGATATTCACCTTTTAACAACACTCAGTTAAAGAAATATTTATCTCTTCCTCACTAGGACAGAAGCTCCATAAAAGCAAACACTTTATTCAACCATGGCTCTCCTCTATCCTCTGCACTTAGATCTGTAAGGACTCAACTCTGAAGGAGAAATCATCAGGCATAGCTTAGGGTGCTATCGAAAACAGGGAGAAACAATAAAATAGAAGGAAGATAAGGGAGGGTCCAGAAAGAGAGTGAGGTCAAAGTGCTCAATGCTGACAAGAAGTTGCTCATTCCATAAATATCCACTAAATACCTGCTCTTGCTACTCTTCCTGCTTCCATGCACTTTTTATTCACACATTTTCTCGGTATTGGAATAGCTAATACTAATTCCCTGCCAGTAGCTCAGATTCATGCTCTAATTCCATATATTCAAACGCGTGGCCTGGTGCATCAAATGCGTGCATGGAGGGGGTTGTTCCCTCAGCCTAGCCTACACCCTCTCCAATCGGGAACCCCTTGGGGGATGTCCAACTGCCAGAGTAGGCCCAATCCCATGGGCCTAAACTGGCAGTCAGACATCTCCCTCACAATCTGGAACTGCTGGCTCCTAACTGCTCACCTGCCTACCTGCCTGATTGCCCCTAACTGCCTCTGCCTGCCTGCCTGCCTGCCTAATTGCCCCTAACTGCCTCTGCCTGACTGCCTGATCACCCTAACTGCCCTCTCCTGCTGGCCTGATCTTGCCAACTGCCCTCCTCTGCTGGCCAATTTGGTTCTGACTAGTCTCTTTCTATGCCAATCAGCATCAAAAGCTCTGCTTCCTAGGCAGCCATTGGCTCCTCACACTTCACCCAGATTTGGTTCTGACTGGTCAGTTTCTATGCCAGTCAGCGTCTCTGGGTCTATCAACAGAGCCTGCTCAGAAGTGCGGCACTGATGAGCAGCCCCGGTGGAGGCCTGGAGAGAAATAGAGGTGCTGTTGCTGGCCCGGCTTGGAGAGAAAGAGAGAGGCAAGTGTTGATCAACAGCTGCCACACAGGCTATGGATCAGACCCTGCTTCTCTCTTCAGGCCTCTCTCTGGGCCTGGTTTGCATTCCCCTCAGCAGTCAGTGCTGGGTCATAGTGCCTGCAGCCGCAGCAGTCAGTGCTGGGTCACCACGGCAACCAAGTGCTGACTGTAGGACTGACTTTCGGTTGGCTGAACCCCCGGTTATGATGAACTCAGGGTTTTTATATAGTAGGATGATCTCTAGAGATGCCCCTCTGTCTCACAGGTGCATCATCTTAATGTGTTTGAAAAGCACTCACCCTCTTCTACCCCAGATGTTCTCCTTGCTGAGTTCCCTAGCTCTTCAAGTGGGAGCACCACTCCCGCCTTTGATCAGCTGTGCTCAGCACTCCAGATGGCTGGCAGCTCCGTGAAAAGGCCTGTGTCTAATCCAGTGCCCACTGAGGGGTCTCTATTCAGCAGCACAGGCAGCCTCTCCAAAATTCTGATTGAAAACTGATGGAGGAGGCACTGCACTAAGTACTCTTCCCTCAGACCAAGCAGGAGACTTTCCCCTTTAGGATTGTCCGAGGGAGGAGTGATACAATCCCCATTCTTTCTCACGAGAATGGACCTCTCATTCCAAATGACACACTCTTTCCACAGGAAGCCTGGATGAATGACACAGAGCCCCTTACACAGCTGTAGCTGAGCAGACAACCAGCAAAGCCCTTTCAGGTCCTACTGGCACTAGAATCCTGGAAACATCACAGGCAGGCACAAGAGGACAGCAAGGACGGATGAACACCCATCATCCAAGGAACAGAGAACTTAGGGCTCTAGTTCTCAGTCAGGACACACATTACAACTGCCTGGGGAATGCAACCTGCGACTCAGCTTAGACCTACACTGAACCTGTCACTGCCTGGGGCCCAGAAAGTTCTGTTATTGCCCCCATCCTGCCCCATCAGCACACCTTGTATGTATGCCTGTGTGCACTGCATGTGCCTATGTCTCCTGAGGCCTGGAGGGAGAAATTGGAAACCTCTCCCTCCTGCTGCCTTTGATAGCAATCGCTTTGTGGTGAAAAAAGCAAGGACATTTTAAATCATAGTGATTATTAAGCTCAAGTGTGTGAACTTTACATCCTTTGATAGGTTTCCCTTAATAAAGTTCTGAAAGAAGAACTATCTTACCAATGTTGTTATGGCATATCCTCCTGTTGCCTTAAAGGCAATGAAGAAAGGTCGAATAAATCTGTAAATTGATTCGGGATCAGGATTATGATGAAAGAATTCCTCAGGAACCTTTTCTTCCTGAAAGAAAGTACCCATTGAAGAAAAATATTAAGTACTTTTGTAACAACCATTTTCCACTTGTGCCATGTGCAGCTTAAAATTATTTTGATTGGGTGACATGTATTTTAGCCTTTTAAATATAAATAATGGGACCTTAAAAAACAGTGACTGAATATTGACACGCAATAAAGATAAATACAGGCACAACCTCAGAATATTTATATATTCCTTTCCACCTTCCCCTACAATATTCTGTCTAAATGTGAACTATTTTTAGGCTCCAAAGACTTGTTGGTCATCATGTCATACTTCTCTGCAATCAACTTTGAGAATGTAACCATCGGGCTCTAAGGCTGTGCTGTGCACACAGTGCTCACCTGCCACATGTTGTTATAGAGCATATCTGAAGACATTTTAAAATTTTTGTCATTCTAATTAATTCAATATTTAAATAGCTGTTTAATTGTCTTCTAGAGATCCGGACATATCTATTAGGTTATGTATAAATATTCATATTGCTTGATGCTATTGAAAATTTTCTTTTAAACATATACATTTTTGTTTTTCAGGCATGTTGTCCACTGTAGCTCACTAATTATACAAAGCTGAAACTCAGTTCTTACTGACCTATCCTATATAATAAAAGGGTAATAAGCAAATCGACCGAATGGCGGAAAATTGGTCACTGTGATGCGCACTGACCACCAAGGGCAGAGCCTCAACACAGGAGCTGACCCCTGGTGGTCAGTGTGCTCCCACAGGCGGAGTGCTGCTTAGCCAGAAGCCAGGCTGATGGCTGGCGAGCACAGTGGCTGTGGCAGGAGCCACTCCCACCTCCGCGGCAGTGCTAAGGATGTAAGCCATCAGTCAGACATTCCTTAAGGGCTCCTAGACTGCAAAATGCACAGACTGGGCTGAGGGATCCTCCACCCCCAGTACATGAATGTCGCGCACCGGGCCTCTAGTTTCTTATATAACACGAGAGGCTCAGTGCACAAAATCCGTGCATGGGTGGGTGGCCCTCAGCCTGTGCCCTCTCACAATCAGGGACCCCTCGCGTAGGGTCCCTAGGCTTGACTGGTGATGAGGCCCTATTGGGGCTTTCCTTCCCCTGGCTACTGGCAGCTGGCCATGCCCCCGCTGCTGCCACTGCTTGCCATTGGTGTGGCACTGCCAACCCCTACCCCATCACTTGGCATCTCCCTCTGCGGGCAACAGGCGTGGGGTGTGATCATTGGCTGGCCTGGGATTTCCCTCTGCGGGGTGATCACTGGCTGTCCCTGCACACCCACCACCACATTGCTAGCCAGTGGGCTGGGCCTCCATCTGTGGGTTGATTGATTGCGGGGGCCCCCAGATCAATCACCCTGCAGAGGGTGGCCCTGCCCACACACGACAGTGCTGTCTGTAGGGGTAGCCTGGGTCTTCCTCTTTAGGACAATTAGTCGTGGGGCTCTGCCCACCCAGCTGGGGCTCCACAAATGGTCACCGCCCAGAGGATGGCCTGGGCCTCCCTCATTGGGGCGATCACGGAGTGCCACCCCACCCCGATCGATTGCCCCGCCAGCCAGAGGCATGGGTCTCCCTCTTTGAGGCCTTGGCCTCCCTCTGTAGGGCGATCGTGGGGCGATGGCCGGGCCCCCTGACCAATCACATTGCACCCACCTTGGCAGGCCTGGCACCAGTGTGTGTCATAGCATAGTCATCCAAAGTTCATCTGGAAGGTCGTTCTGCTGTTTGGTTGTTTGGTCGGTTTGCATAGTACACTTTTATTATTATAAACTAGAGGCCTGGTGCACGGATTTGAGCACAGGTGGGGTCCCTCGGCCTGGCCTACGGGGATCAGGCCAAAACCAGCTCTCCAACATCCCTCGAGGGCTCCCGGACTGTGAAAGGGTGCAGGTCAGGCTGAGGCACCCCTCACCCCAGTACACAAATGTTGTGCACTGGGCATCTAGTTTCTTATATAACACTAGAGGTCTGATGCACAGATTTGTGCACAGGTGGGCTCCCCTGCTCTGGCCTGCAGGGATCAGGCTGAAACCGCTCTCAGACATCCCCCAAAGGGTCTGGGATTGCAAGAGGGCAGTTCTCGGGTTACACACCCCAGAATCGACTCCCTCCTCTCTGGTTCTGAGTGCATCACCTGAGAACCACATCTGCCAAGTCACAGCAACTCAGTAGCATCTGCATTGAATGTCAGACCTCTGTTGGTCAGTTCGCGCCATAGCTACCAGTTAGACAGTCGCTTATGCTTTTATATTAGATGTTCCTTTTGTAAAATAATTAGATACAACATGGGGAGGGGAAGAAAACTTAAAGGAAGGTAATGTGAACTCCAAGCTGGAGAAAGTAATTTTTTACTAGTGATTAATTTTGAAGCAAATCAGCATGGAATAAGCACAACTGTCTGAGAGAAAAGGACAACCTCAATACAACTGGCACTTACTGTGACAGGATGGAGTCTCTCATCAAAAATGTCCTTGGATCTATTTGCATCTCTAGAAAACAAGAACGTGATTGAAAAAAAACTAATCCAGGAACTGTCGTGTTAGCAACACATCTGCTGGGAGTAGAGGGGGGTGGAGGGAGCTTAACCTTCAACAAAGAAAGTCCTTCTACAAATTCTCTTAGATCCCGTAGGAATTTTCTGAACTCTTTTTATTCAGCACATCAAATTCTGTGAAATTTTTTCTACAATGACCTGCCAGAGCTGCCTTTATAAGCATTGACCCTCCCTAATAGGCAACACTAGGCAACCAAATCGATGGCCAGACCTCTAACTTCTCATTGGCAGACACAGGAACATTTTACAACGCAGTAGTAGTGGGCAATTCTTCATGTGAGAATGAGATTCCTGGTTTTTTTTTCACTGTTTTTTCTCTTACTAGTTTCCTATATTATACTCTTATTACATAATATATTTCTTCTTGATTCTTTACAATAATCTGAGGTTAAAATTTGCCTTTGAATTTTAAAAGTGACCACTCTATTGATTTGAGGGGGAAAAAATGGATTGGCTGCCCCCTATACATGGAACTGGAAAACTAGCTATGTGGCCTTACAGAATTGAACCTACAACCTAGGTATGTGCTGCCTAACTTGGAATCAAACCTGCCAGCTTTTGGTGTACAAGACAATGCTCCAACCAACTGAGTGAGGGAAACCAGTCTTCTGGGGTTTTTAGGTTTAATTTTCCACACTACTACACTCTGGTCATTTACACAGTGGTTCTCCAAGTGTGTTTTGCAGGCTTCAGTGGTTCCACTAGACCATTTCCAGGAGACCCATGAGGCCAAAACTGTTTGTATAGACATATTAAGGCACTGCCTGCATTTACACTGACATTTGCAATGACTGGATAAAAGCCAAAGACAGTAAAACTGGTTTCTGAGCAAGAATCAAGGCAGGGGTCCCAATCTGTGCTAGTAGTCATTCTATTCTTCACTGCCACTTGTTGACAAGAAATATGCTTTACTTAAGCACATCTTTGATAAAGCAGTGACAATGAATAATGTTATTAGAAGTTGAATCTTCTTTTTATACTCTACAGTGGTTCTCAACCTTCTGGCCCTTTAAATACAGTTCCTCATGTTGTGACCCAACCATAAAATTATTTTCGTTGCTACTTCATAACTGTAATGTTGTTACTGTTATGAGTTGTACTGTAAATATCTGATATGCAGGATGGTCTTAAGTGACCCTTGTGAAAGGATCATTCGACCGCCAAAGGGGTCGTGACCCACAGGTTGAGAAATGCTGCAAGGGGAAGTATGCATTAAGCATTTCTGCATACTGAAATGTGATTGTTAAGGAAAAGCACTTGGAATTAGTTGTGAGATGAATGCCCTACTGTTCTCAGAGAATAATATTTTTATTTGATTATACAAGTGTCGTGCACTCAAGACTGAAAAGTGAGTCTGTCACTTCCAGGAAAATAACTTATACATTTCTTGCCAATTGCACAGTTCCAGCTATCAAGCTCAAAATCAAGATTGGGGAAAACTTGTATCCTTTTTGTGACCTAACAGTTTTTCAATACCTAAAGGTTTTTCTGGGAAGACTGGTGGTTATGTGATGCTACCTAACAAAAGTGAGTTTTGATACTGTAAAAAGAAATGTGAGCTGATACTTGACAAATGACCAATGCACAATGTTATTAGAAAATTACTTACAATTTAAGAGATTCATTTAGCATAGAAGATGTATGCATGCGTACTAATTTAACAGAGACCTTAGTACAAGTTCAAGGATAGGATTTAAAATTCCATTGTAACTAATTCAGAAGACAGCTTCTGTGGACTTCTGGTATAGTATCAAAGAATATCCAAAATTATCTGAAGGCTTTGAAAATACAAACTTTTCTAGCCATAAAGATACATGAGGCTGGGTCTGCATATTGTTTATTCAAAACAAATTATTGAGATGACTGAGGTAATCACTATGGATTGAAGACAGGGTGTAAGTGAGAATCAGCTGTCTTCTGTTGAACCAGACATAAAGAGATTTGCAAAATGTAAATAAGTGACACAATTTCCATTCGACCAATTTATTGTGGAAAATGATTCTCTTTTATAAAGAATTATGTTAACACTATGACTCGCTATCAGGGGTGTTTCTGCCCCCCAGGAAACATTCCGCCATGGTGGATACATTTTTTCTTGTCAAAATGGGGCCTGGGAAGATGATACTACTGGCATCTAGTGAGGAGAGGCCAGGGAAGCTGTAAACACCCTGTAACGCACAAGGCAATCCGCCACAACAAAGCAGTATCCTGCTCAAAATTTCAACAGTGTTATAAAAACCATGTTTCAACATACAAGGAATTCATTTTTAAATTCTCAGTTTTAATTTCTAATACAGTAAATATCAATATAAACCAGATAAACAAATTTTCTTCAGGATCCTCAATAACTTAAGCATTAGGAGTCCTAAGACAAAAACAAATGGTTCGCTTCAACAATGTAATAAGAGCACTAAAGCTTACTTCAATAGTATCCATAGTTAAAATCTAACACTAACTTTATATCTGGTAAGTTTATTAGCTAGAATAACAAGACTGGTTTTAAAACTCACCTCTTCTTTATGTGGTAATATATTGCTAGTGCCAGGCTGTGGAGAAAAGAAAAAGTAACAATTGACTTTATGTCAGGTCTGAAGACAGGTTTTAAAAGGGTTGTGGTGGGGGAAGACCATCCCAGCTTCCAGGGGCCATGAGATCCTCATTCAGAAAATATCGGCTAAGCACTTTCTGCCTTGTGGTAGTTCTTTGTCAGTTACTAAAATTAGGAAAACCAAAATGCTAAGGAATATGCTGTTAGAAGACATGTTTTGGGTGATTATTATAACATAGAAGTTATTACACTCTTGCCCTATCTTTTGCCTTTCTACTCAGAGAACCTTTCATCCTGTACAAGTTAGATCTACTTGTACACATGCTTAAAATCAAGCCACAGTAGTTTTTCCACCTGCCCACCTATTTTCCTTTTTCCCCTAAAGTTAAATAAAATGCTCTATACAGAAGAGAATCATTTAAGGTCACTTTTACATAATTGTTAAGAAAATGTAATGGCAAATAAAAGAATGCAATGAAGTAAAATAATACACCCTGTAGTATTAAAAACATTTATTTCCAAATTAGTTCAAATAAAATTTTAATGAGCAGATGTAAGTCCTCATATCTGCGTAAGTTCCTATATCCCTATGTTATTCCCAGATGCTGTGTAACATGAAACAAAGGAGTGCTGTAGATCAAGTTATATGCTTTTTCTCTTTGCCCCAAATGTCAGAAATGAAGCTCCAAATAATTGAGGAAAAGCAAATCTGAATTTTATAACTAGGTTATAGAATATTAGCAGTTGTACAAAGGTCTGTAGCATTGTTAGCATCAAAGATGGGCACTTCTACAGTGCTTCAAACAGTTTCATCTTCAAAATGATTTTAAAATCATAGAATTTGAAGCATATAAGCTGAAAGGAACCAATGAACTTCTGATGATATTTAACTCAACAACCCATTTTACAGAGAAAGTAACCAAGGCTTAAAACTGACTTGCTCAAGGTCCCACCAAGAGTGAGAAGCAGTTCTCCTTCTTCTACCCTCTAACCAGGTAGTGTGGTTCCCAAGCTTGGCTGTGCATTGGGATCTCATCAGAGGAGTTTTACAAACTGCCTTCTTCCACCTTGAGATGCTCTGATTTAACGGGCATTGGTTAACTTTGGAAGCTTCTCGGGTGATGACAAAGTGCAGCAAAGTTTGAGAACAGAATGAATTAGAGTTAAAATCAAAATCATCCCAGATTCTTTTCTCCACATAAAAATGCCTTCCATCCCTCCTCAGCTTATCAGAAGGCTTGTGAGAGTGACAGAGTGTGTTAGGGAAGGAGAAATGGAATGCATGTGTTTAGAGACACATTTAGACAAAAAATGCGTAAGTGATTCTAATAAGGCTCACCCATCCCATTGAGAACAATGCACTATTACCCCAGAATAAACATTTTTTCAAAACCATTCCTAAAAGCTAATGAGCTCTATTAATATTCTCACTAAACCTTTAATTTACCAATATTAATGTACTGAATGATCATTTTCAAAACTTGATAAGAGCAAATGAAAATTTACTGTACTTCCCAAAATTAGACGAATTTGGAGGGAAAAGGCGTAACACCCACTTGTCTAAGTAAGGCTAATCTTCAAAACAACTCTTGAATTATATATTGTAACACCAGAATCATCTAATTCAAAAGAAGCTATGAAATGCAGCCAGAAAGGACTGGTTTTTACTCCCGGGTTTAGTGGCCAGACTGAAGAAAAAGACTCAGTGATTGTGAGTTGGGTGCCAAAGCTCAGGACTTTAGAGAGAGACGGGTTCCAGTTTTGCTGAAACTCAATTTGATCTCAACTGTTGTTATGAGAGAAGAAACTTACATTATTATGATTGTGAACTGGCTGTTATAATTAAAGTAGAAGTTACTGAGAATTTAATTAGCCAAAAAGCTGATACAATATAAACAAAATTAAGTTTATAAATGAATTATGTCTTAGGACTGAAAAATAAAATCAGGAATGAGGATGTTAATATTTTCAGGTAGAATTTCCCAAACTGTGTTCTGGAAAGTCAACCCTCTCATCCTGGAGAGACACCAATAATGATCCTTGGACAGCGCCAATGGGATTCAGGAAGCTCTACATCCTAGTTTGGTTTTATTTTGCTCTTAAGTAAGCTTGAAAGTTTCATATTAGGGTGTTTTTAAAGTGCATCTCCAATTGTGGACTATTAACTCACAGAATTTAATGAATAGTTTTCATCATCATGACACTGTTATGTTTGCTAAGCGTAAACCTGACTGTGACTATGTTTCCCAAACTTCACCTCTCTCATGATTTTGCTTTGATTTTGTTATATATGGATCGATATAATGTAGTGTCTTGAAGATGTGTAAATATATATCTATACATACATATATATATAACTAAATATATATATAACTAAATTTAATTCATCTATGAAATTAAAACCTCAGTTGAACAAATTTAACCCTCAATCTTGAAAAGTTGTTCCTTTAGACTGCTTTGATGCATTTTTCCTGGAAGGAGAGTGCATTTCAATATAGAAATAGTGCAGGAAAAAAGAAAGTAGGATGGGGGAAACCTGACACAATCCAATGAAACTGTAATTGCAGATACAGGCTGGTGCCAGTAGGGGACAAGCTGTCCCTTATTCCAAGAGCAGCTTCCAGGGTAGTACACATGGTTTTAGGCCTGTATCTCATGAAGAAATACTTTATTCCAGAAACATTCAGTAAAACACACCTCTCCTTTCATTGTGTTCAACAATGTCTCAGGAACAGTAATGCCTCAAGTAAAGATAAACACTTTGGGGGGGATTTTTTAATTGTTAAGTGGGTTTCCCTTCTTCCATCCACTCTAAGATTAAAATGGAAGTGGAAATCAATATATAATTGACACCAGTGTTTTAACCTGAGCACTGAAAAGGACAATCAAATGAAAGTACATATGGGCAGGATAAGGGGTCTGTCCGCTATTTGTACTCACCACTGCAAGGTGATTTTCAAATCAGACTGAGAAATAGTGCTGTCTACAAATACTGTAGCACACGAGCTGTACTTTTCCCTAAGGTGACCAGGAGACACCTGAATGGGAAGGGGAGCAGAAGAAAATATCACAGTAAGTTAAACCTACAAAAGTGTGTTTTTCCTTGGTGAAAATGTCAGACAATTAAGCATTACAATTGTTCTCATACCCTATGAACTGCTTCAGTGCAATACCATGTGGAGCTCTACAGTAAACACACTGCATGCTCTCTCTTCCAATGATGAGAATTGACGAGGGGGTCATCAAATGCTGCCCTTGACATACTACCTATAATCCAACTTGGCAAACACCTATGATTAATTGCCTTTATAACAATGTAAAACATTTAAAATAAGATTTTAGTGTTTTTTCCTTGAGAAATGAATCCTGCCAAGATTTCTATTTCTACTATTTATTGTCTACATTAAGACATACTGCCTTCTATAATATTGAAGCAAGAGCTTTTACTGAAGTACATAAAAGCCAATGATAAATGTTAGTTCAGGAGACAGTGTGACAAAATACATGTATCTGAGGCAGAGGTGTGTGTGTGCTGGGGCTGGCCTGCGGCTCACAAGTTAGGGACCAGAGTTCTCTCTGGGCCTCAGTTTCCTTACCTTGAGAATTAAAAAGTATTGTTTTAAGATTCTCTCACATCCAAAAATAGATCAAACAACTCTGAGAATTTAACTCTCCCTCATGTTGAAATAAGACTATTATTACATTACTCAAAAGAGAACCTCAGATAATACGGTACTTAACATGATATTACAAATTCTACTAGAGGCCTGGTGCACAAATTTATGCACAGGTAGGGGGTCCCTTGGCCTGCCTGCCAATCAGGGCCAATTGGGGCTGTCTTGCCCAGTCCTGATCCGGGCTGATCAGGGCCAACCAGGCAGGGGGAGGGACTATGGGAGGTTCGCTGGCCACAGGAGGTTGGCTTTGGGAGCACACTTACCACCAGGGGCAGCTCCTGCATTGAGTGTCTGCCCCCTGGTGGTCAGTGGGCATCATAGCGACTGGTTGACTGGTTGTAATGGTCTCTTAGGCTTTTATATATATATATATATATATATATATATATATATATATATAATAGATCCAATGCATGAGTTCATGTACGAGTAGGGTACCTCAATCAGGGCTGATTGGGGCTGTGGGAGGTTGGCAGGCAGGACGGGACATGAAAGGTTGGCCAGCCAGCCTGATTGGAGGTTCCAATCAGCACCATTGGGGCCAGCTGGAGGGAGGAAACGTGGGATGTTGGTCAACCGGCTTGGGTTACGGCCATGGGAAGTTGGTTGGTCAGCGGGAGGTGCTGCAAAGGGTTGGCCAGTCACCAGGGGGGAGGGGCTATGGGAGTTTGCCCGGCCCAAGGGAGAGACTGCGGGAGACTGGCCAGGCCATCCGGGCCATCAGGCCGGCTGGCTGGTGGGGGGAGGGTTTGTGGGACGTTGGCTGTGCAAGCACATTGACCACCAGGGGGCAGCTCTTGCATTGAGTGTCTGTCCCCTGGTGGTCAGATGCATCATAGCTACTGGTTGTTCGGTTGCTTAGGCTTTTATATATATAGATTCCCTAAGCTACATGATACTTATCAGGACCCTGCCTCACTCAGATGCTCTCTCTGACTACAAGGCATTTTTCTTCCACTGTTTCTCAGCAAGGTTAACCCCTCTTCCCATCTACCTCCAGGACACCTCTGCCAACAGCTACACCAAACAACTGTCCCTTTCTCTGCACTCACACACCTGAGTTTCTACTTGTTACATGGTATCAACTGCTTCCAGGGCATCCCTCTCATAAAAAGTGAGCTTCTCTAGGGAAGACAGGACTTTCACTCCTCTTATACCTCCAACCTTCTCAGCACAGAATCTGGGGCAAGTTAGGCGTGCGACAAGTGTTTGACCAATTGTCTAAAATCTATTGCAACTGGAAGGCAAATCCTACTACTGATACAAATTAGAATTTACCTGCAGTGGTGTCAGACCTATGACAATGATTTTTTGAGATATGCTAGAGAATAAATTATCTTTAAAACACTAGAAATATTCATGTCTTTTAGAAGTATCCATTGATTTAAGAGCCCAACAATACAGCAATAATCAAATACGGAAATAGCCCAAACGATGTTACAAAAATCCTCTTAGAGTAAAACCAAAACCCAATTCTAGTCACTGTAAGTAGTTGAAAGTAATAGTAGTATTCTTTAATATGACAGAATACCAACAATTTTAAAAAGCTTCATTTTGTTAGTGGCAAAATGGCACCAGATGTTTGACTTTTATCGTTGAGTTTGGCTGAGGAAGAATTTAGAGCCAAGAATTTAAATTATAAGAGAAAGTATATTTAGAAAGTCACAGAGGTAGAAGTGAGCCAGTGTTGCTCCGTGGGCTCAACACACAAGTTACAGAGGCAGAAGAAAGGCCCCTGGAACTTAGAAGAAAGGAAGGAAGAATATACACGCCCGGGGGAACAAGAGCAGGAAGGCATGGGCATGCTCCAGAGTGAGAGCACCTGAGAAGAGGGCGGGGAAAACTACAGGCATGCTCAAGGGAGAGAGAGCACAGGTGCTGGGTCCTTCCTCTTAAGGGCTTTTACCTAAAGGCAGAAATTTTAGGGACGGTCTTAGGGGACCTAAGCTGGGCCTGAAGCTGAAACCAACTGAGGCCTAGATATTACTTCTACTTTGACCAAAACTCTGTCTCTAAGATCAACAGACCCGAGGCTTTGTTACTAAGATTTTTAGAATCAGGCCAGAACCTCTTTTGTCCTCAGGGCTTAATGCTATGGGAGTCAGGATGCAAGGGCATGCATGGAAGTTGTATGAGGCTATTCTCGGGGCCCTTTGTTTGTCTTTAAGGGTGTCCATATGCTGGGGGAGGAAAGGTGAGGGGACCAGCGATATGAAAGTTCAGGGGTTGTAAACTGCATGACCCGTGATATGCTAAGGGAGGAAAGGTCACCCTTGGGTGAGGTCCCACCCTACAATACTTGGTTTCCCAGTTTTGCCCATTGCTAGGCACCAACAGCTTTCTACTTTGGTGACATACTTGGCCTATCGTTCCTACTCTGTTCGTGTCTGCCTCACTGCCTACGGTATCAGTTTTCTTGTGTCATTATAAACTAATTCAGATAAGCCTTCATTCCTCATATTCCTATAAAATAGCTTTTATCATGCTGTCATACTTTCCCACCAGTGTGCCCCTCATATACACAAAGACAGGAAGGGAGATTATCCGGTTGATATCTTTTAAAATACAGAGCATTTAAAAACTGCCAGTATCCAAGAATCAGAAATATCTTTATATTACACTAGAGGCCAGATACACAAAATTCATACAGGAGTAGGCCTTCCTTTCCCTGGCTGCCAGCAGCAGCTTCCCTCTGGCACCTGGGACCTAGGCTTCCCTCACAGCCCTGGCTTCATCTGGAAGTTGGTTGTCCGGGAGGATGTGGGGTCAAATTAGTATATTATACTTTTATTATTATAGATAAAATATCAATTTGCCTGTTTCAGATGCTTCCCTTTAAAGCCACTGACTCCTCAGTAACCAGAAGCTCCAGATGGCATAATTTGAAAACAATCACTATTTGGAGGAATAAATTCTCCTTCAAGCTAGAAATATCTTAACTATAGCTAAAACTCTGATATGTTTCTTAAGCCATGCAGTTAACATATACTTTACTTTTCGGATCTCATCAGACAAATACAGCTTAAAATATGAAAACTCATCCAAATACTTTTTTTCTAAATGGAAGGTTGACTACTATACAGCTACAATATGGCATATAATACACCATAATAAAGTCAATTATGACCGGAAACCTATATAGGGGGGAGTAAAAAGAATAGGAATAAAGGCACCAAAATATAGACTAGTTAGTAAAACTTTGGGTGATATTTGCTCCCATTTCCTCTATTTAAATTTTTTTCCATTATAAATGTACATTGTGTTCTATTTGAAAACAGTGCTAAAACACTGAAAAGTTTTAATCAGACATGGGCTCACAGGTCTATGGGGGTTCATTTAGTAAAGCAACACTTTACAGTATAGTACTGTTAGGTCCAATCAAAGCAACACTGAGTACTTCCCCATCAGTCCAGGTCTACTCCCAATTTTTCAAAATTTCCAGTACCAAGTATCTAGTACCCACTATGGTGGCAGAATTAAATCTCGTAGCAAATCCTGGATATACTGGCTGCCAGATGATTATGTTCCTCTCATCTTGCTTGAATATGTAAAACAATTGTTCTTTATGGTTAAAATTTTACTGTTGCTGGCTTACAACCTCAATAAACTCCACAGAAAACCATAGAGATAAAAATGCAAATACTAAAAAAGAATCAAAGAACCTAAATGCTAATGACAAGGTAGTCTTTGTAGGTATTTCAGTAGGTCACTAGAATACACAAGGCAAAAATCCTACTGTATCTTCACTCATTCAGAACAAATGGTAGAATAGATTGACTTTTACAATCTTTTCAAGAAAGGGAAGCGGTTCATTAGATTTACTTACTATTATTATTTTTTTTTATTGTCTAAAGTTTTACATGTCTACTTTTTCCCCAATTGACTGCCCCTGCCATTCCCACCCCGGGTGGCAAGCCCCCACCGCCCCAGTGTCTGTGTCTTTTGGTTATGCTAATATGTATGCATACAAGTCCTTTGGTTTCTCTTCTTACCCCCCCCCCCCCCGCTGCCATTTGTCTCTGGATCTATTCTTGTTTATCAAATTATGTTCATCATTATATCATACATATGAGTGAGATCATGTGATATTTATCTTTCTCCGACTGGCTTATTTCGCTTAGCATAATGCTCTCCAGTTGCATCTGTGCTGTTGCAAATGGTAAAAGTTCCTTCTTTTTTATAGCAGCACTAGAGGCACGGTGCATGAAATTTGTGCACTGGGGTGGTGTCCCTCAGCCCAGCCTGCACCCTCTCCAATCTGGAAACCCTAGGGGTTGTCCAACTGCTCGTTTAAGCCCAATCCATACACCGGCAGTTGGACATCCCTTTCACAATCTGGGACTGCTGGCACCTAACCACTC